TGGAGCTGCAAGGGTCTTTCTGATTAGTCAAATCTGTACATTAAAATATCCTACGGTATTCTGCACAGAAAAGCTTACTGATCATATGTAGTAAAACTCATTTAAACCTGTGCATCTGGAGGCGCCTGGGTGGCCCAGTGGGTTAAGGGGGTTAAGTGGGTTAAGTGGGTCAAGGCCTCTGCCTTCGGCTCAGGTCATGATCTCAGGGTCCTGAGATCGAGCCGTGCATTGGGCTCTCTGCTCAGCAGGGAGCCTGCTTCCCTTCCTCTCTTTAGGCCTGCCTCTCGCCTACCTGTGATCTCTGTCTGTCAAGTAAACAAATAAAATCTTAAAACAAACAAACAAACCTGTGTATCTGTCATTTTAAAGTAGTAACTCAGACCTCATGAGAAAATTTTACCTTTTTAAAATGCTATGAGTGCAGTTTTGTGGTTATCAAAAACCTTAAAGAATTCAACACATCATGATCACTACTGCATTACCCTCTGATACCTCAAAATAGACTCTCTCTTCATCTCGAAGTGGGGAGAGATGAAGTGATTTGCATAGCATCATAATGAGAAATTTAATGAGAAACAGATCTCTGACTTCTTTTGTATTCTGGTCAAATTTGGCGAGGTAAGCCACAAAGGAGAAGACTGGCATGTTAGACTAAATGAAAATCTAACACTTCTATATTTAGTGTTGTATATTCAGTGACACAATTTTAACTTTTTATTATTTATTTATTTATGAGTGCGAGAGTGTGTGTGTATCATGTGTGCAAGTGAAAGGAGGAGCAGAGGCAGAGGGACAAGCAGACTCCTCGATGTACATGTAGCCCAACACGGGGCTTAATCTCATGACCTGGAGATCATGACCTGAGCCTAAATCAAGAGTCAGATGCATAAGTGACTGAACCACCCAGGTGCCCAGGTACCCCTAGAGACATGATATTGATTTATTGATTTATTTATTTATTATTTTAAAGATTTTATTTATTTATTTGACAGAGAGAGAGACACAGCGGAGAGGGAACACAAGCAGGGGAAGTGGGCGAGGGAGAAGCAGGCTTTCCACCTAGCAGGGAGCCTGATGTGGGGCTAGATCCCAACACCCTGGGATCATGACCTGAGCCGAAGGCAGACGCTTAACTGTTTGAGTGACTCAGGGGTCCAAAAACAAGAGTGAAAAGTGAAAAGATGTTCAACTTATTATACATTAGGGAACCACAGATTAAAACAAAAAGTACATCCCCCCTGCATCTTTTTTTTGAGAGGCAATATAGAATAAAGTTTAAAAATGTAGACTCTTGGGGACGCCTGGGTGGCTCAGTGGGTTAAAGCCTCTGCCTTCGGCTCGGGTCATGATCCCAGGGACTTGGGATCGAGCCCCGCATCGGGCTCTCTGCTCAGCGGGGAGCCTGCTTCCTCCTCTCTCTCTCTGCCTGCCTCTCTGCCTACTTGTGATCTGTCAAATAAATAAATAAAATCTTTAAAAAAAAAATGTAGACTCTTGATTCACACTTCTTGGATTTGAACCACAGGTCTGCCATTTTCTAACCTTGTACAATTTACTAATTTCTCTGTGTCTCTGTTTCCTCATCCTCAAAATGAGGTCATTACAGTAACTGACTCATAGGATTTGTTACAATGATTAAAGAGTTTATGTAAAATGCTTAGAACAGTGTCTGGCACAGTAAATACTATTTAGGTGTTTATTAATGCTATTTATTCCATCATATGGATACAATGTAAAACGCTGTTTAAAAGATAAAAGTAATCCATGGGGCACCTGGGTGACTCAGTTAAGTCTCCAACTTTTGATCTTAGCTCAGGTCTTGATTTCAGGATTGTGAGTTCAAGCCCTGCATCAGACTCCAAGCCCACGCCACCCCCCCCATTTTTTAAAAAAACTAAAATAAATAAATAAATAAAAAAGTAATCCTACTCTGTTGGTGGAAATGGTAATTACTACAGCTTTTTTGAAGGATAATTTGATAATCTGCATACGCTATATGTAGTAGTTTTACTTCAGAAATCTGACTCAATGACATAAGGACAAAACAGTTATATGTTCAGAAATGTCCACTACATTTCTAGTTTATGCCCCAAAGGGGGAAACAATTAAAATATCCATCAACACCGAAGTGAAATATGTTACAAAAAACTGTAGCATACTAAGAAGGCAGCTGTTAAAATAATGTAGGTTTAGATGTACTGACATAAAAGTTGTCCAAATATTTATATTAAAAAGTAAATCATAAAGTAATATGTGTAATATGATCCCATTTAAATGAAAACAAGCAAAACATACATATATGTGTTTATTTATACATGGATTTTTAAAAGAGTTGTGAAAATATACAAACTGCTAATGAGGTTATTTATATGGGGAGATGGGTAGAGTGAAAGGGCACTTCAGCTTTTTGATCTGTACTTAGGAACTGAAACTATTTTTTTAAAGATTTTATTTTATTTTATTTTTTTCAGAGAGAGTGAGAGTGTACATATGCATGTGCATACACACAAGCAAGGAAGTGGCAGAGGAACAGAGAGAGAGAGAGAGAGAATCTTGAGCAGACTCCTTGCTGAGTTCAGAGACCAACATGGGGCTCGATCTCATGACCCTGAGATCATGACCTGACCAAAATCAAGAGTTAGATAGTTAACCCACTGAGCTACCCAGGTGCCCCTGTACTGAAACTTTTTAAAGCAAAGACACATGTATTTTACTATATAATTTAAAAACTGAAAAAGGGGTTGCTTACTAGGTTTGCCTATCCTACTAAGAAAATCCTGGTTTCTATGGATTTGATATAAGAATAGAAATGTTCTGCTACTGAGATTTAGACACTATATACCATTTTGGAAGAAATGGCCTGACTTGGGCAATCCACACATATAACCCAAGAAAACCAGTTTTTGAAAAAACCTTTGGTCTCACCTACAATGGTACTGATTCGAAGAACTCACTAGATTAACATCTTATACCTTAGTTCTATTTATCTCCATCTTCAGATGATCTGAAGGTAAGAGAGCCTATTTAAAAAAAAACATAATATATTCAAACTCTAGTGAGTATATCCCTTTACAGGAAGAACAGAGTTTTTGAAAAATTTTCTGTATAGGAATACAATTCAAATGGATTTAAAATATATAAATACTAGAGATTTACTGGCACCTTTCTATTATGCTGTATTTGAGACACAAAGATACTACCATTGATTAAAGCAGAACTGCACGGAAGGCACACATAATGAATTTAGGTCACTGGAAAGGCCAAAAGTGCACTAGCTATATAATAGCAATATAGGAGACTCTGGGAGAACACAATCTCATGGTAATTCAATCTGAGCTTTCCTTTAGGCTACCTAAAGCAAAATGGAAGAGGACGGAGCACACTGAAGTTATGAAAGGGATATTTAGTGCAAGGTTAAAAAAAAAAGTACACCTATAAAAAATATTTCCTTGTTCACCCAAACGTACATCTGCTGCAGATTTTAAGAAAGTGGCTACTGAACTGGGAGTGTTTCAGTGGTTGTACAATATCCTTGTTCTTAAAAACCATTATTCTGAAAAAAATTTCTCATTCCATTTTATTGAGACATTTATAAAATGGTGTTAATTCTTAGAATAATGAAAATTGTGGAATAATAGGAATCTAAGGAAGAGGTATGAAAAGGAAAAAAAATCATTTTTTTTATGATGATTACCTTAAAACAAAGAGGTATAAAAGAGGTAATTAACAACACAACTATACGGCAAATTGGACAGACTTGCAAATATCACAGAGCACCTCTAAAGTGGTTCAGGGATAAAAATCGCTGATAAAGCAGTATACTGCCTCATCAGCTAAGTCTGGGGGACAAGTTACTTCACCCATTAAAAAAGGAGAGGAATTCTCTGCCTGGCAAATCTGCAATTTGCCATTACAGAGACTGTAGTCTGTATTTGTTTGTTACGTAGATAACCGAAAATAATAGACTTACTGGAAAAAAAAATCCAGTATAAATAAGAGTATCAAATATGGAAGGCAGACAGAAGTTCAAATCCAAGCTCTACTACCTACTAGCTGTTGTGACCCTGGGCAAGTTTTTCAATTTCTTTTGTCTTAGGTCCTCATCTCTAAAATGAGGGCAATAACCATATTTAGGGTCGTATTACATGAGAGGCTACATTAAAAATGCTTTACAAATAGTAAGCACTCAGTAAATGTTGGTGATGGTGGTGATGCGTGAGAATATGGCAAGCTTAATTTCCTAAATTTTGAACAATGTGGAGACACCAAGTTTAGGCACACATTCAAAGATTTTAGAAGGTTGTTATCCTTACTCAAGCTGATAGTCCTAATAATCAAAATCTTCACATGTCTTCTAGACAGGACTGCAAACCAATACAACTGATTGCATATGCTGTACACAAAGAACAATGGAGCAGTGAACAGCATGGACTTGAGCCAAACCGCTCAAGATCAAACACCATTTTTGCTATTTACTAAGCCGTATGACCTTGGGCAAGATTATTTAATCTCCCTGTGTCTAAGGTTCTTCATCTAGGAAGTGGTGATAATAATATTTATCTTATATGGTTACTATAAAGATTTAATGAGATAATGTACAGAAAGCAGTACTCAAAACACATTTGCTATTGTCATCATCATCCTAAAGTCATTCTACAAAAGAAAGACATCTCTGACTACTAGAATTTGATTCTATAGAAACAGCATTTAAATTAGTTCTTACTTTTCAATATTTTAAGATTCTTAAACTGCCTGGGCATTTGAGCCTACACTTTGTACCTTGCCTCAATATAAGTAATATAAGTAAGACCAAAAAAAAAAAAAAAAAAAAAAAAAGTGAATTTAGCATTGGATCTTTCCACTTGTCATTGATGTAAAGTTAGAGATGACCAAAAAATACCTTATCAAAACCCACTGTAGAACTGCCTTCCCTGCTTAAAACAAAAACAAAAACGAAAACCAAAACGGCTTTCCCTGTTTTAAGCAAGTTTACTTCCTACCTGTCATCTGCATTACGAAGGGATGGAAGCCGAAAGCTAGTGTTTCTGTCAAGCTTTGACTGGCTTTTGGTCCTCTTGATGGAGCCTTTCAGGCGCTTGCTGAAGAACCCCTAGAATGAAAAGGCAGAAGGTGATGGGAGAGAAAACCAAAAGAGCAACTTTGCTGTCTCCTTACTCCTCTGCACCACCTCTGAAAAAGGTATTAAGATTTTTAAAATGAAGACCAGGACAAGAATCCAGCTTTTCATTTTTAAATTTATAAATAAAAGTTGCTTGAAACCACCTGGTAATGGGATGAAAAATATTTTTCTCTAGGATAACTGGGATAATTAAACTTTTGATAACACTTACCTTCTTATTTCTTAAACATTTTCTATAGCAGCTATGGTAGAGAAACCTCTAACGTTGTTAATAGATTTTTTAAAAACACAACAGTGTAACAGAAAAACATATTCCTTTCTCTGAAGAAGTTTCGATAGAAAAGGGCATCTAGTAGGTAGTTTCCAGAATTAAATTAAGGGAAGAAAGGAAATGAGAATAGCATGTGCATGAGTGCACTAGAGGAATTTTAAAGGATATACTGATAGTGAAGAGAGAAGCTTTATTCTAAGAGCTGCCCCCCCCCAAAAAAACAAAAAAACAAAAAAAAACAACAAAAAAAACAAAAACAAACCCAAAAATAAAAACAGAAAAAATAAAACTCCACAACCTTCCCCAAAACCTCTCAAAAGAACACAAAAAAGAATTATGTATTTAGTATAAAGTAATGTGTTGGCAGTCTCAAAAGTGTGAAAATTTGGTCTACAAATCACCTTGGATATGTTACTTGTAAACTTAAGTTTTAAATGTAGCTAAACTGTCTTGAAATAGGTATCACTTATGAAACTACTGAAACATCTAGACCTCAGAACAAAGTAGTTTACAGTTTTTGGCCCCTGCTAGCCTCTTACCACTTCCACTAAACTATCTAGAGCTCCTTCAACATTTCCTAGTCTTAGCACCTGGTAACAATGAGCATCCAATGAAAGTGTGTTGAATAATGGAATAAAATGCATGCATGAATGATGACAGTCACTGCTTTCAAGTAGCAATTATATTGTTGGCAGATGAAAGGACATCTTATAGAAGTATACCAAAATGTCTTGAGAAAAAGTTCTAATTCAAAGAAAAGTATTTTGATGTTGGGAAAATGACTCTTTCTAATCACCTTGAGATGAATATTATTTTATATATATATAAAAGCTACATACAATAAACATTTCCATAAGGAAGACAAAGAAATATGTCAAATCTTTTATATTCTTTTAGTTATCACCAAAGCCCACTGTTTTGGGTGAAGACTGTATTACTCAAGATACACTGGGTTACATTTATCTAGTCATCTCCCCATATTAATAGCACGAAACATGTTCCGCATCTATCTATGAGCCGATCGACTAAGGGAGATGGGAGATGGGGGCTTGGCTCTGTGCTACTCTCACACGGGGACTTGGGCTAAGGGAGGCTCCTCCTCTGCTCATCTATAGTTGCTTCAGCAGGAGAAAGGAAATGTGACAAGTTATATCCTAGTTCTTAAACCTTCATGTCACTTCTAGTCTCATTTCATCAGACAGAAAGTCACATGACCACACCCGATTTCCGCGAGGAAAGGATATACAATGGTATTATGTATCCAGAAAGAAAACCGGGACTATCTGGTGAACAGTAATGTGGACTACCACAGTGCTTACCCACGCCAAGTATTCTGCCAACACACAGGCATTGCTCCTTTCATTTGAGAAAAATGTAAATGAACTTATTTGGATCAGAAGTAAACTATTTAGCTCACTGAAAAAAAATACTTATGTTATTTCTTGTTATTCCTGTAGCCCAAAGAATAAGTGTAGAGACTCTTGGAATATACCACATAGACGTAGTTCCCTAGGCTGTTTTTATTATAGGTGCACAGAGATTGACTGGAGAGAATAAAACAAGAAAACAAAACTATTTTTTATAGTACTACATTTCTTTTTTCATTTTGTTTTAAAAATTTTTTTTAAAGATTTTACTTACTTATTTGACAGACAGAAATCACAAGTAGGCAGAGAGACAGGCAGAGAGAGAGGGAGGAAGCAGGCTCCCCGCTGAGCAGAGAGCCCAATGCAGGGCTCGATCCCAGGACCCTGAGATCATGACCTGAGCCGAAGGCAGAGGCTTTAACCCACTGAGCCACCCAGGTGCCTCTGTTTTTTAAATTTTTTATTTAAATTCAATTTAGTTAACATATAGTGTATTAGTCGTTTCAGGAATAGAATTTAGTGATTCATCAGTTGCACACAATAGCCACTGCTAATTACATCACCTGTACTCCTTAATGGCCATCATCCAGCTCGCCCATCCCATTCCCACCCCACCCCACTGCCCCTGCAACCCTCAGTTTGTTCCCTATAGTTAAGAGTTTCTTCTGGTCTCATCAAATACTAGCCAATAGGATCCAACAGTACATTGAAAGTATTATTCACCATGACCAAGTGGGATTTATTCCTGGGCTGTAAGGTTGGTTCAACAACTGCAAATCAATCAATGAGATACAATACATTAATAAAAGAAAGAACAAGAACCATATGATACTCTCAATAGATGCTGAAAAAGCATTTGACAAAGTACAGCATCCTTTCTTGATCAAAATGCTTCATAGTGTAGGGATAGAAGGCACATACCTCAATATCATAAAAAGCTGTCTATGAAAAACCCAAAGTGAATACCATTCTCAATGGGGAAAAACTGAGAGCTTTTCCCCTAAGGTCAGGAACATGGCAGGGCTGTCCACTATCACCATTGCTATTCAACATAGTACTAGAAGTCCTAGCCTCAGCAATCAGACAACAAAAAGAAATAAAAGGCATCAGAATAGGCCAAGAAGTCGTCAAACTCTCGCTCTTTGCAGATGATATGACACTTTAGGTGGAAGACCCAAAAGACTCCACTCCAAAACTGCTAGAACTCATACAGGAATTCAGTAAAGTGTTAGGATATAAAATGCAGAGAAATCAATTACATTTCCATACACTAACAACAAACAGAAGAAAGAGAAATTAAGGAGTGGATCCCATTTACAATTGCGCCCAAAACCCTAAGGTATCTAGGAATAAATCTAACCAAAGAGCAAAGAATCTGTACTCAGAAAACTATAAAATACTCATAAAGGAAATTGAGGAAGACCCAAAGAAATGGAAAAATCTTCCTTGCTCATGGATTTGAAGAACAAACATTGTGAAAATGTCTATGCTACCTAGAGCAATCTACACATTTAATGCAATCCTTATCAAAATACCATCAACTTTTTTCAAGGAAATGGAATAAATAATCCTAAAATTTATATGGAACCAGAAAAGACCCTGATAGCCAGAGGAATGTTGAAAAAGAAAACCAAAGCTGGTGGCATCACAATTCCAAACTTCAAGCTCTATTACAAGGCTGTAATCATCAATAAAGTATGGTACTGGGAGAAAAAAACAGACATACAGATCAATGGAACAGAATAGAGAGCCCAGAAATGGACCCTCAACTCTATGGTCAACTGATCTTCGACAAAGCAAGAAAGAATGTCCAATGGAAAAAAGTCTCTTCAACAAATGGTGTTGGGAAAATTGGACAGTCACATCCAGAAGAATGAAACTGGACCATTTCCTTATACCACACACAAAAATAGACTCCAAATGGATGAAAGACCTCACTGTAAGACAGGCATCCATCAAAATCCTTGAGGACAACACAGGCAACAACCTCTTCAACCTCAGATGCAGGAATTTCTTCACAGAAACATTGCCAAAGGCAAGGGAAGCAAAGGCAAAAATGAACTATACGGACTTCATCGAGATAAAAAGCTTTCGTACAGCAAAGGAAACAGTCAACCAAACCAAAAGACAACCAACAGAATGGGAGAAGATATTTGCGAGTGACATATCAGATGAACGGCTAGTATCTAAAATCTGGAAAGAATTTACCAAACTCAACACCCAAAGAACAGATAATCCAATCGAGAAATGGACAGAAGACATGAACAGACATTTCTGTGAAGAAGACATCCAGATGGCCAATAGACACAGGAGAAAGTGCTCACCATCACTCAGCATCAGGGAAATACAAATCAAAAAAACACAGTGAGATACCACCTCACACCAGTCAGAATGGCTAAAATGAACAAGTCAGGAAACGACAGATGTTGGCAAGGATATGGAGAAAGGGGAATTCTCTTACACTATTGATGGGAATGCAAGCTAGTGCAGCCACTCTGGAAAATAGTATGGAGGTTGCTCAAAAAGTTGAAAATAGAGCTACCCTATGACCCAGCAATTGCACTACTGGGTATTCACCCTAAAGATACAAACATAGTGATCTGAAGGGGCACGTGCACCCAAATGTTTATAGCAGCAGTGTCCACAACAGCCAAACTATGGAAAGAACCTAGAAGTCCACCAACAGATGAATGGATAAAGAAGATGTAGTATGTCTATAGATACATACATACGTATATATAGACACACACACACACACACACACACACACACACACACACAGAGGAATATTATGCAACCATCAAAAACCTGAAATCTTGCTGTTTCCAATGATGTGGATGGAACTAGAGGCTATGATGCTAGCAAAATAAGTCAATCAAGGAAGACAATTATCATATGATCTCACGGATATGATGAATTTGAGGAACAAGACACAAGATCATAGGGGAAGGGAGGGAAAAATGAAATAGGAAGAAACCAGAGAGAAGGACAAACCATAAGAGACTCAATCTCAGGAAACAAACTGAGGGTTGCTGGAGGGCAGGGTGCGGGAGGGATGAGGTGGCTGGTGATGGACATTGGGGAGGGTATGTGTTGTGAATTGTGTAAGACTGATGAATTACAGACCTGTACCCCTGAAGCAAATAATACATTATATGAAATAAAAAATAAAATTATAAATCTTAAAAAAAAAAGAGTCTCTTCTGGCTTGCTTGCCTCTCTGCTTTTATCTTATTTTTCCTTCCCTTCCCCTATGTTAATGTTTTGTTTCTTAAATTATGCATGCGAGTGAAATCATATGGTATTTGTCTTTCTCTGACTTATTTCGCTTA